TGGGATCGTGCTGTATTCACAATGGATCCGGTAAGCATACTTTGTACTTTCCGAGGATTTTTATATTGATGATTTGCTCTCGTCACTAATTATGCTATTTCATAGATAATGTGTAAAGCTGTAAACGAGAATTTCTGTCGCCTTCATGAGCAAGGCCTTGTTTATCGTGCGACACGTATGGTCAATTGGTGTGTGCGACTTAATACTGCCCTGTCTAATCTCGAAGTCGATTACGAAAGACTTCTCAGCAGAACATTCCTAAAAGTTCCTGGGTATGAGGAGAAAATTGAGTTTGGTGTTATGTATAATTTTGCATATCCAATAGAAGGATCAGGTATAATTATTTGTTAAGATTATCATATTGAAGCATGCTCTGATTGTCAAGCGTTATAACTTTTTTTTACATAATTTAAGATGAGCGCATTGTGGTTGCCACAACGCGTCCAGAAACAATGTTAGGTGATACAGCCGTTGCAGTGCACCCTCAAGATACACGGTTTACGGTCGGTTGAATTGTAATTAAATTATACCATAAATAGGCCAACGAAATGACAATTTAATCTCCTGACGCATATGATACATAGAAATTCCATGGCAAATTCGCTGTTCATCCGTTCAACGGCCGTAAACTTCCCATCATACTAGACGATTCCGTAAACATGGAAACTGGTACTGGTGCCGTGAAGATAACCCCCGCCCACGACTTTAATGATTATGGAACTGGAAAGCGACACAACCTAGGATTTATTAATATTTTTAATGACGATGGTACCTTAAACGCTAATGGAAGTCCATTTGAGGTGAGCTTTACCCATCGCGTTCATGAACCTAACGACTTTTGTCCTAAAGAATTATTTTTGTTATAGGGAAAAAGGAGGTTTGACGTCCGTAAAGAAATCATTGAAGAATTGAAGAAACTCGATCTATACGAGGGTGATAAAAATCATCCTATGGATATTCCATTTTGCAGGTGAGAATAGAACGTGACTTCAATTTCAATGTCACTTCTTATTGATGGTTTTACGTACATGTTGTATAGTCGATCAAAAGATGTGATAGAGCCCCTCCTCAAACCTCAGTGGTGGGTGAGCTGCAAGGAAATGGCTCAGGAAGCTATAGAGGTGAGAGGTCTCTGGTATTCCACAATGGAAGAAATTAGGTACTTGTGACGTTCTTAACAGACTTTTCCTAATATTATAAAAGGCTGTGAGATCTGGTAGTATAACCATTCGACCTTCCACATCGAAAGACGAGTGGTTTAGATGGCTAGATAATATAAGGGATTGGTGTATCTCGCGACAACTGTGGTGGGGGCACCGGATACCTGCTTATTTCGTCAAAATTGAAGGTTTAAATCAAGATGTGAGTCTGCATAAAGCCAACGAGCACTGAAATTATTCTGTATTCTGTGGATATTATAGTAATCAATACATTTCAACAGAAAGCGGATGAAGAATTCTGGGTATCTGGGCGCACATTAGAAGAAGCGCAACAGAAAGCAGAAAAAAAATTTTCGGGCACAAAATTCAGTCTGGAGCAGGACACTGATGTGTTAGATACGTGGTTCTCGTCAGGCTTGTGGCCATTTGCTATACTAGGGTGGCCAGACAAGGTAAGCCACTTACTTGTGTGTGCCTCCCACGTAACGCGTGTTGAATGATATGGTGCAATCAACTATTAACATTTGACAACTTTTTTCCAGACCGATGACTTTACAAAATTCTATCCAACACACTTGTTAGAAACTGGTTGGGACATTATCTTCTTTTGGGTGGCCCGTATGGTAATGCTTGGCATAAATCATACGGGGACCGTGCCATTTAGCGAAGTATTCTGCCACCCCATTATTCGGGATGCGCAAGGCCGTAAAATGAGCAAGACTCTTGGTAATGTTGTAGATCCCGTGGATGTTATCGACGGTATATCTTTGGAGAGATTACATGCAAAACTTCATGAAGGAAATCTTGACAAGGAGGAAATTGAGAGAGCTCAAACCGGGCAAAAAGAAAATTTTCCCAACGGCATTCCGCAATGTGGAACTGACGCTTTGCGATTTACGCTATGTAATTATACGACTACATCGGGTTAGTTTGTTTTGTAATTGTCGATTCCTGTCACATCATTTATCTTGATCACTCAAATGCGGATACTTTCTCTTCTTCACATAGCACGTAATATAAACCTTAACGTTAACGTACTATTTAGTGATCGTACCTTTTGTAATAAATTATGGCAAGCCATGCGATTTGCCTTGAGGAGATTTGGTGATGACTTTGTACCGCAACCTACAGAGCAGGTATTTTTAGAGCTTTAAAGTGCTGTATTATAACGCGAACAATGACTGACAATAATCTTCCTTTTTTTTGTGACAGAAAACAAGCAAGGAAACGATAGGGGATAGATGGATTCTTCATCGTTTAAATGATACCGTCACAAAAGTTAACGAAGGGCTTCATAACAGGAACTTTAAGAGCGTCACTGATATTGCAAGAGGATTTTGCTATTATGATTTGTGCGACGTATATTTGGTAAGTCGTAAGGATAGTGGTTAACATAGTACAAACAATCTTACATACTCAACGTATGTCTGCTCTGTACGTAGGAATGGATAAAACCGATAACAAGTGACCAAGCCGACGCAGAACGGAAACGATCATCCCAGGACACTCTCTACACAGCTTTAGAGGCAACACTTAAAATGCTACATCCGTTCATGCCTTACATAACAGAGGAATTATACCAACGCCTACCCAGAAGACCTGGTGATACGATTCCAACGATTAGTTTAGCAAAATATCCTCTTGCGGTTAGTATACAATCATTTGAAGCTCTAATGGTGTCAGATAAAGTTCTAATTGTGGCTTATTATCTTATAAAGAATAAGGACTATATTGATACAGAGGCAGAAGAAGCGCTCGGTTTAGCGCTCGAGGCGGTCAAGGCTGCGCGGACAATTGTGAAAGATAAATACGAAGGACAGAAGAACAAATACGAACGTAAGTGTACAAATAAATTTTATCAGAAGATCTGTTTATTGGTATAGGATTCCTTGATAACTAAATTTTCTGGTTAGTATACATCCGGGATGACAAGGGTTTACGAGTATTCGCGGAAGATGGTGACAGCATTGGTTCATTGGTCGGTATAAAGACTGTCAAAGTTCTTAGTGCGAGTGAGACCCTTCCTGACGGAATTGAGACGTTGAAGACGGATCATGGAATCGACGTAGCTGTAAAGAAGTTATAGCACTACTTGTGATATTTATTCTGAATAAAAAGAAAGTCGTTGTGGCTTTGAAAGATTTAGACTGTTTTCATACATTATAAGATCATAATGCCCATAAATAATTCCACAAGTAACACTTGGTAAAATGTGTTAGCAAATACTTGTCTAAAGACCTCGTTTCTCACAGTCTGCCGTGAAAACGCGTAATACGATTCCAGCTTCGACTGGATGTATAAAAGATTGTTGGTTGATGAAAAAAATTTACATAAAACTATTCATAATACAAATCATGATAATGGCGTTGATAGTAATACACACGTGTTATTATAGCAAAACAATATTCGCGAGCAAAGAGTAAATTTAAACTAATGCCTTTTACCATATAATAAATACAAGTAACAAGGAAACGCATAATGATATTAACTTCATAACTGATGCTTACGAGTGTAATAATTATCCGCTAGAATTGAGTATTTGTTTATGCCTATTATTACCAGTTTGAGACTGACATTCTAGTGATGTTCGTACTTGACAGTAACGACGTTCACTGTGCTGATGAATATCTTTTAGTCGTACTTATTGCTTGTCTGCTTTAAGACGACCAAGACTTTTGTTTCGCTGCACATGTTCACTTTATAGTCTATTCTATCTGATCATTTTTCATACTTGATACTCGGACATTGAAGGGTGATGTAACCACACATCGTACATTTTAAACCCTGTAATTGGGAATATGTTTTCTTGATATATACATATATAGATTACAAGCAAAATGTTTCTCTCTCAACACGAGAACACAATTGCGTCATGGTTTATTTAGGTTTCCTGTCTCTGTCGCTATCTTGTTTTGAGAAGAAAGGAATCGGATATTAAAAGATCCTATTTTTAGGTATTGATTATTGATATTTAATTTCAAGACACTTATCACATCATTAATCCAATGTGTACGGAATCGACAATATTATCCGAATATGGGAACCGTTACAACTGAATCGAAGGTTTATTTATATTTTAGTATACGCATGGACTTACCATATACAGTCTTTAATAATCATGCAGTAAGTTTGATCATGCAAAGTATTTGCCTTAACGGTTGAATAAAGCGTAAACGTGCGTTTGACACATTGTATAAAGTCTTATACTATTGACACATACATTGTCTCTTTACCAACACAGTTTGAACAGACTCTCTCTGTCTTTTCTCTGCCAATTCATTTGTAGAAATATTATTATTTATGGTGTACGATAAACAATACAATACAATTAGTCTTGTTAATATAGTGTCACCACCCCTAATGCTAATAATATTGTCACTCTTTATTCCGCTTACTACGTCGAGGTAACACCATTTGTTCGTTCTTGTTTATGTAATTTAGCTTCGATATGGTCATCGAAAAGCAGACATCCCGAGTGACACCAATAACGGCTTTAGCTATCCCAGACAACATCAGCTTCACAGCTCATCATCAGAAAACGTAACTTTTGATTTAGATTACTCGCATTGGTTTCTATGCTGCGTATTATGCTTATGCGCCAGCCGGAGATATTTATTTTCAATCGCCCAATAGGGAGACAAGCTTAATTTCGTTTTCTATTTTTGTGTGTTTGGTGAATCTAATGGTTTGCTTGATCTGCATGCAACGGAAATTATTAATACTAGTTATTGTTATAGTATACTAATACTACTTATTTGTTGTACGAATTAATCTTTCCAAATGAGGTTAAGAGCCAAGTCCGTCGACTTTTTTACATATATCCAACGTCAGTTTGCCATAATGGACTATTTTCTGACTCTAAAAAAATCTGCAGGAACGACAAACGGAAAACGGGAATGCCTTAATTATTGCGAAGAACGTCCACTTCGCATAAAAAAACCACCTGCTTACTTTGAGATTTTGGGTTAACTGATTTATCCAACTCAGTCACTATCTGCTGACTGTTAACACTCGTTCGCTCGAACAGAAACTTCGACGAAGGGGGCACTTGGACTGCAAACCTACGCTTACAACCCTGACATTATTCCCGACACATATCCGTACACCATGCCACACAGCATACCATACAACATACCAACAGCAGTCCGCAAGTCATTCCCACTCCTGCTTATATTCCTCTTCCTGATGTCCTTCCCCCTTCCATCCTATTCCCAAAATCCCCTCCCTCAACCCTACGACTCGACCCTCAATTATAATCTCACAACATCCTGCGTCAGCTTCTTTAAATCATTCAAATCCGATCCTAATTTCCAGAAATGCAATTCATTCGGCTTTCTCGTTCTCAGTTCAAACACATTTCTAACCATCTCACGGAACGCTTCTCAAATACCTCCCTTAATGGACCAAATATGCGCACCAGGGAATTCAATGGATAAATGCAAAGCAGATTTTGCAAACTTTGCAGAGCAGATGACACTAGCAAGCAATTGTCGAACGGATCTGCAGGACGTGAACCCCATTGCTAGTCAGGCTTACGTATCGTTTATGTCTTACGAGCCATTGCAGATTGCTGGATGTTCGAAGAACACCAATGGAACATATTGCTACGTCAGCGCATTGTATAATAAAAGAGGAATAAAGCTGTTTCTTTTACCGAGTGGTAAGTTTTTAAGTTACAAAAGATATGATCTCTAAAAGCAAGATCGAAAAGTTATTGCTTTACCGAAGTAACTATCGAATGCGTGGGAATTCCTACTGATTTCATATCAATTCGTGCAAACATTGACAATTTCCCCCCCCCCCCCCTATTCTATTAGGCTCGGCGATACCACAAGACCAGGAGCTCGCTTGTACAGAATGCAACCAGAAAATTCTCAATACCTATGCGACCTATGATACCGATAATACACTACCGCTTTATCAAGTTTTCCCTCAAGTACGAGATCAAGTGAATCAACAGTGCGGAAAAGACTGGGTCAATTCGCCTGCGAACCTAGTAACTAGTTCTATAGGGAAAGTCGAAGTTGGTAGTATACTCGTGAAAGTTTTAATTGGCGTGGTAGGGTTATTGATCGCGAGTGGGTGAAAAGTAATTTAACGAAAAACGTCGAGTGTAAAAGAGGATGAAAGAGTAGGTGGGAAAAAAACAGTGATTTACAGACATTGGTCATGGTTGCTAATTGGGGTGGCCTTGTGGGTACTTGATAGAACCAGAAATTTTTTGTATATTCTTTCGTTGTGATTTTTCTTTCTGGTAGAAAATTCAACATTGTACCATTATATTAATAGACTACCCAATGGTAATATTTATACGAATCGTGGAGCTTATATTCGCATACTTGGATCAACAACGTGTGCATTATTGAAAGTTTGGGCTTTCTTTTGTGCTTGTTGTTTGAGGTTCTGCTCACCTGCACAAAATAAAAGATTTAAACGAGTGATATTAAATGGATGCCCTGAGATATGGATATTGTGATTCCATCTACTCGTGCGTCAATTAACAAGAATACCAAGCTGAAAACAATACCAGAGATGTTACTAGTAAAAGTGTTCACCATTATATTGATAATCTTTCCGTATTCCTCTCCCAAACTTAACCATTATAGTAATAGTCTTATGTAGCAGTAGCTTGGAATAAATTGGGCATGCTGCAATAAAACCAGACAAAGTGAACATGTGACATCATCAGTTATTTTTTACTCTTTTCTTCAGTGCTCATACTACTATTACTACTACTACTACCATAATGCCATTATGGCCACAGTTACAAACACAACTCTTTACGTCTGCACTATTCTTGAGAGCTGCTATTTCTTGTTCTTTAGTGGCTAAGTCTCTTTGCAAGTGGTGTAATTGGTTATATCTTTTTTACCTCACTCTTTTCTATAACCTTCTGGATCTCAAATTTTGAAAACTATTCTGTCCCTTCCTAAACGTAATATTTGTTTATTATTTCTAGTCATTTTATTAGGAATGTATCCCCAATGGGTTTTATATTTAGGAAATAAATTTACCAATCATAAATCAGGAGAAAGCTCAGCTTCTTCCTGAGCCATTTTGGCTGCCTCTTTGAATCCGATCATGACATTTAATCCTGACAATCTGTATTAATATTAAGAATTTTTTTTATTAATAATAGCGTGTTTTATTACACGTATATTAAAAACGCACGAATGCAATATAAAGTAATACGTAGTATGTACAGTGCGCGAAAAAAGTTTTCGGAATAAAATGCACAAACTTTGTTTCCTTCCAAAACACGCGTCTAATCAAAACAGTAACTAATACGTTTTGTCCGTTCTATTCTTATGTATAAAAACTCGGTCACATAACTTTGTTACTTGTGTCATTGTTTACACTTTTCGTTTCGTTATTAAAAATACAACGACAAGGTTTTGATTGACTGACGTCGCAAGATCATAACCACTCTGTGGGCAAAATAGTATTCAAGACGCTACACTTTACATAAATTAACTTTTATTTTGCCTTCTAAGTATATGATATTAAGAAGCTTAAAATAAAAAAGCGCTCATGTTAATTTAATTCAAAGCATGCGGTCAAAATTGAATAAAATAATGGACGGGAATAAGATATTGAGCAGCAATAAGTAAGACAGTGTTGTACGATGAAGAATCTGTAAATTTAATTAATAAAAATGTTATTTCGAAAACTTTTTCGCGCACTGTATATGGTAAAAACAAGATACTTTGCTAAAAAAATTTTTTCAACACCATATTTTTATGAATCCAACTTCAGCTTCTTATCGTAAGTGAAGGTGGCAGATTCAAGTTATTATACATGTTCATTTTTTCTGATTGCGTTCTATTTCTTATGGGAGTCACATGAGTATATGTAATAAATAGGCATGCGTTTCTATTATCGTCAGTACGAGTCTTGAATATAATCTTTCAGATTATTTAAACTCACCTCAAGTAACTTCTGGTAATCTATATAATAAAAATTTTCGTAAGATTAATGTGAGAAACCAATAGAATGAAGTTAATTAGAATGAAAACAAACCCTGAATTTGAGCAATGCTGGTAACATTAATCCCACTTCGATCTTATTTGTTGGCAAAAAAAAAAACGTATTAGTATATTCCACGAGAAGATATTGACATTTCATACACTATTATTTCATTATCTGTATGAAGTTGGAGAATGTTAATATCATAAAGTATAACCATTTTCAGAATCGGAAATACTTACAATAAACATATAAGCCGTGTAATTTTAGTAAACCTAAATTCATGCTGTACTCTTACAATCCTATTAATGATAACCTTCAACATTCTGGCGATTTTTAAAAAGTGGGTATGATGTCTATTTTCCTACCAGCACACGATCTTCCTCGTCACGTTTTTCCAAATTGCGATCCTTCGTAGTTGCAATCCTCCGTAGGGCATTTTTCATCACTAGATAAACATGCGTTATAAAGAATGAGGAATCATAAGAAGTCGTTTTTAGTTTATATAAACTAAAAACGACTTAGATTAGACTATAATAGACTCGGTGTGTGTCGTAAAATGCAAAATGTGACACCCTCGAGTGTGGCCTAAAAATTGAATCATGCCACATACCTGAGACTATTATAGTCTACGTATCAGGTGCTATATAGGTTGCATTTGTATCGTCACTTGAGAACCGCTGAGACATGACGTGCGTTTTGCATTTTAGGACACGCTCGAGTGACGTGCATTTTGCTTTTTATGACACGCACCAAGGTGACGCATTTTGCATATCAGGCCACATACGACATAATGTATGCCACTTTAGTAATCATGATCGATTTCCACATGGGTAAAAAAAATATACTGACGATGCATTCAATCATATGTCGTCATTTCTGGAGGCATATAGCCAGAGTATATGTTATCAGGTACGTTATATACATGCTATCTGAGACACGTTATCTGGACATACTATGGTTATGCTATCGATTATTGCTACCAAATATGTATGCTAAGTATATCATATAAATGCTATCGAATATGTTATATTTCTGCTATCGGGTATGTTATATTCTTGCTATCGAGTATGTTATATTTCTGCTATCGGGTATGTTATATTCTTGCTATCGGGTATGCTATACACATGCTATCGAGTATGTTATCGAGTAAATAATATTTGGACACGCTGTCAAATATGCTATCAAATCGATTTCACTCATGTTTAGAGACATGTTATATCAAAGTATATCGAATTTCCATATTCTGGTTCTGACTAAATTCATCGTGATCGTTATCATTAGAGGTGCTTTCAGTTTGAGTCACAAAAGAAGTATCATCATTATTAACGAGTTCACGATCATTGTCGCTGGTTGTGTTCCCGGTCTGTCTCTGAACCAATGAAAATATTATTATTAGCATTATTTCATAGAAATAAATAAATAACAACTAACTTACCGATTTACCATCTAGTCCGTCGTCTAATTGCTCATGAAAAGAAATATGGGCTTCACGTTTTCGTTTTTTTACTTTCCGCTAATATTCAAAGATTTTTGCTTTTATAACAGTTTAATCAGCTCAAGTAAAAAAAAAACAACTACATACATTGGCTTTTCTATCTTCTAGCGAATCTTTATAACATGCCCAATCATCCCTATATTCGTCATTATCCCATTTTCTTCTCAGATTTAATAACTTCTTAGAATCTGGCGCTTCTTGCAAAGCCTGGTTTAGCCGTAATCCGTACGAGTGGTGAGCATTTGAACTACTACGATATTTGAACCTCGAAAAAAAGTTCAACGGACGAGGATCTGCGTGATTCAACAAATAACTTCTTTGCTCCTTTCGACGCGTTTTACTATGGGTCATTTTTCGATAAAGGTTTGAATTGTGTCGAGTCACTATATTTGTTACAAGAATCACGTGCGATCAATTTTATTTTGATTGGTTTACTCGAGCAGAAAAAACTGAGGTTACTCGCTTGTATTCTGCGGATGGTTTCATATCAATATGAAAAGCACAACCCCTGCGCAAGCGTCTGCTAGGTATTAAGTTGAAGGTTGGGAAAAAACTGAGGTTATTCGTCTGGATAAGCAAGGCGTTATTACCAACATACGGAAGCCTGTGCGAATGATTGCGGTCGACCAGATGGATACGCTTCAACACTGGCCGTGCATTGACTTTATAATATACTCAACATATCCTATAGTCATGTGTCAAAATTTTTATGACGCTAATGTTTTCTGTTTCTGCAGGGAGTATTGCCTCCCGTTTCATACATAGCAAGTCTTGCATGTGCAATTAAATTCTTCCTTTATCAAAGGTAATAAATGCTTTTTAAATATTTGTATGTAGTCAAATCTATTCATTTTACCGCCTACTTTTACTAATGGCCAGATCAATAAAGGTTGATGTGTGTTTACAAACAACACGAAAATTATACACACGTTTGTTCAAAACCAAAACACACGTTATATTAAAATTTGAAATATCATTATTATGTGGGGCATGCTGCAACGAAACCAGACAAAGTGAACATTCTGAAATAAGAGGCTTGTGTGGCTGAAAGTTAACTAATTTGACTAATACTAATGACGTTTTGAAAAGTACTAATGGTGCTCATTCATACCTTATGGACTTGTTAATTTTTAATGTTCCCTATATCATACCAGAATGTGATGAATATAAACCATAACAGGATTAATATATATAGGATTATCTCTATATAAAAAATATTAATATGAAATTAATTTACATCAAATCCACCATGGAACTACAGCACCATTAGAAGTATTTTAAAGAAAGCTCAAGGAGAAAAAATTGCTCCATATGTTTTCAAAATCAATGATACCCAATCTCTCCAGGACTATCTAGATAAAGAAAAAATTACTATGAAATTTATCAAGAGAACGGAAAATAATAAATAATAAACAAACCTTAACATCAGCTCACGATGAACCAAGAAAGAAACGAAAACTTAAAGAAACGTAAGTAAATTTAACATAAAAAAAAGCTTCCCCAAGCGACCTATCAATGAAAGATCGATTCTTATTGTTATCTAGCGAAATATTTTATGGAATATTGGGTCTATTTTTGAGTTGATATTTCCATCATTATTAGATCGAAGCAGTCCAGAGTGTTTTTGATGGGGCCATCACATACACTGAAGAAGTGTTTGCAACTGCCACGGAAAATTTGGTGAGAATATTGTGCATGTTCTTGTTTTTATTTCTTGCAATATCTTACCATCATTCATGAAATATTTTATAGAAAAATGAGAAAAAACGTTCATTTGCTGAATTTCTGAAAGATAAAACCCCTCTTCCACGTGTTGTCACTCCACGAAAGGAGTCTTTATCTGAATACACAGCTGGATCTGCGAAGTTGCTTGACCAAATGAATAAGGATATTTTCAGTGATGAAGAGGAAGTGGAGGAACATAATAATTCGAAACAAAAGCGACGTCAATCAAGATATGGAAGAGATATCCCAGACTATTCCGAACAAGAATCTGATCAAGAATATGAAAAAGTACGCAATATGCCATATTGATCCCTAGAACTTTCATGCTAGTTCATGTATCAAATTTGAAACTTTGTATTTTAGAGAGTACGCATAAAACGGCCTGATTCACGATCACATCATGCAGGCAAGGATGATAAACCAGAGATTGATAACGGGAAATTCAAGGTATAAGAAACGTTGTTAGGCAATATATACATTGAATCTTATAAATACTTTAATCTAATTATCATATTATCGTTTGATTTCTCTTACTACACTTTGTCTGGTTTTGTTGCAGTCTGCCCCATGTATAATTTTGTGTAATTATAATTGAATTTTTTCGATGTGCAAGACTTTTGTCCGGTAGTGTATAAGCATATTAATATTTATATTAATATTGTAATTCAGGTAGAAGTTTATTGATAAGTTATATTTTGGCATGATATTAATTTAAAACTGTAATTTACATGTTTGTATATAATAATAAGTTACAGCTGTGAGTAATTTAGTTAACTTCAGCCACATCAGCCTGCACTTATGTCACATAATAGAATGTTCACTTTGTCTGGTTTGTTGCAGTCTGCCCCAAATGTAAGTTTCTATATACATTATACCAATACAACTCTCGAGTTCGAGGTATCATAAAACTTTGACCTAAAAAAGTTCTATACATCACAAACAAGAAACCGAAGTCAATATGAATTACTTGCTTGGTTATTAGATGACAGCTAGTTGTGTATTCTCATTAAACATAGAAAATTTATGAAGCAATGACAGAATTTTCTCCTGTTTTAACAATATCATCTTGTTGTTTCTCAGTTGCTGCCAAGTAAGATTCCCACAATGCAATTATCTATCATGTCAAAGGAGAAATTAATGAAATATTGGTTTCAAATTTACATATATTGGTTAGAAAAAGTATTAAAGTATCCAATTTTAACAAATAGAAGAAAAGATGTACGAAATTTGATCGTGTATATAGTGAATAAAATTTTACCTTTTTCTGTGTTTGGACAGTTGATTCCAATAGCGTCTCAATTCCAGTTTTGAGATCTTCTACCTTTTCTTTATCAAATCTATCAAGCTCGGCTTTAATTAGTTTTGACACATCTTCAAATTCATGTTTACAATCTTCAACCCTATGCTCTGCCTGATTTTTAGAAATAGATAACAAGCAAAATTTCATTATTGACTCAAGCATGTAGCAACATAGATAGTTGTAAAATCGACATACCTCTGCTACTTCTTCCAAGAGATATGAAATTCTATCTTGTGATACTCCCTGTGCCTTTACTCTTTCATAACTTGCTTTCTTTTTCTGTAACTCGTTTATTGCATATTGCCATGTTTGATGTGCTTTTGCTCGCGATGTAAATGCAATCTAAATCCATGGTAGAGACATGAGACTTGCAAATAATTAATGTAATCTTCTTTCACAAAAGCAACTTTCCAAAGACTAACCTTTATAGAACCAGTAGTACGAACGTATTCATCCAAAATATTTTGCATATTACAAACATCCTTCTGAGCCTATGATCAGTTTGCGGGTGTGAGTTAGTGTAAATATATTCTACCAAATCGGGAAATTCATAATTCAATCTATAACGACGTATCGAATCAAAATTATCTAACCTGTTTTTCATGCAATTCTTTGATTTCTTGTTGTACCTCACTCAACAGTTTCACATTGCTAATTATCGTTTTATTTGTTTCAGCGTCGGCCAGAGATAACAAAGCGGTGCCGAGATCCATAGTAGATATACCAAGTTCTACTCATTTCAAAATGTAAAAGTCGATATTGTTAGATGACACCATACGCAAACTTCGATAGTCCTTAACGTGGATTGTTTCGCCTTCACAAAAGTGAATAAATTTTTTGCACCTTTACGTTGCCTAACTATTGCATCGACCGACTTTTGCAGTACTTTAAGTTGTCCTTCTAGTATAGTTAACTGGTTTTTTCGATTCTCAAACCACTGCGATAAACAAAACCTCTTAGTATAAATCCAAACTAATTGATAAGTGACTATAAGGAACAGTGCGTACCTCGTCTGTCTCTATGAATTTGTTCAAAGCGGCAGCTGTAGAAACGGCTTCGCCAAGCGATCTTAAAACCCCTCTGGGCTCCTCTTGCTGCTTTTTCTTGAGCTTAGTTATAACAAATGTTCAGAAAAAGACTCTCAGTTTACATCTCATATATCATAAATCATATATCATGCTGAGCACTTACATCAAGAATAAAGGTATCTGATTCTAGAAACAATTTTAGATCCGGATCTCCATACAACATCGGATGAGAAACAATCTTGTTCAAGCATTTTTCGAGTGACTGCCTACGACTTTCAACAAAGTCTTCTTGAAAACGCCCTATTTCAAACCAAAAGACAATTAATTAGGTCGAGCCAAAACAAACATGATCATCATTACAAACATCATCACCGTACCGATTGCATGCTTCTCTGGTATCGGAGGAACGATTACACCAGGGTTGCCGAGAGTCAATTGATTATAAAGCCAAATAAAATCACGATAACGCCGCAAAACAGTAAACTCTTTTCCTTTGAAAGCGTTCGAGTTTGTCTAAAGACAAATCATAAATTCCGCAAATTAAAATAACATACAATGCTGAGCTACCAAAGAAAAACTTTTGCTTGACGTTGCAACTCAATCGAGACTTGAAACAACAACCTTGGTTCGAATTTTATATATAGTGTGTGCATTGATCGGATCTCCAATTTTCCGTGGATCTTCTACAAAGACTTCGAAAGTTGGCATTTCGCCCGGTTCTGGAATACGTAAATCTGATGTCTGTTTTCGAAAAAATGTATTTTCAGAAATTTTGTAATACCCCCACAGATATTCTTTGCAATATTCAAGTATCGTCATGTTACCTTATAATCGTCAATTGACTCAGAGATTTGACGGACAATTTCGTCATCTTCTTGATTCAGTAGCTGTTGATTGATTCGATCTCGATATGGAATATGTTCATCGTATGCATAATCCCCATTATAACTATCATGTACGTAACTGTTATAAGGCGGAGATATTGCTGCAATACCCTTGACCGAAGATACATCAACGTCCTCAAACTCGGTCTTGTCATAATGCCCTCCATGTCCTGTTTTATACGCAACAGGAGACCTAAAGACAGCCGACGTATCATTGGTGAAACTTAAGCCATGTTCAAGAGGGTCACTGTGATCGATTGCGATGGCGCTGAACATTGCATTGTTTCCTTCATCGTCACTCTCGGAAATAGAAACCAAACCACTTTGTGGAGATACGGCATCCGAGAATGGGTTTGATACATCGACACTACTCAGACTGTCTGATATCGTATTTGTACTTGGTTGATGTAAAAGGTCATCAAAATTATTTTCGAATGTTGGATCAGTCATAGTATCATTAATGTATGAGTCAAAGATACCCAACTTTTTTTTTGAATTCCCAAATTTCGGTAGTATTAATAAATATTAGAATTAATATTACTTGCTGGTGCGCATAAAATGACGTAACAGTAACACAATCATTCTTGACAAAACCCTCTACACGTCAACGAAGACAATAGCTTTTGATCTCCTGATTCTCTGCTTTTGGTCCACATACAATATGGGTGACGGAGGCTTTTTCAAGGTTTGTCTAGCAAGGAAACTATGGGGAATCTAAAACTTTCATATTGGCGTTGTTCCGGAAGACTAATATTCAATAATTTTGACCGTTAACGTCCGGCCTCGTAGGGAACGAGTCTCGAACAAGACAGTCGATTCGCTAATAAACAAAAAAAGCTTTTGAAAAGCATGTCATTTCCATCTGACTTTAATAAAAAGGTATGATACTTGGCTGCTTTTTATTACTTGGTGTGCCATAGATCTGTCAATCTTTTAGAAGGCAGTTGGAGTGAATCTCCTCGCGCTACTTCTTCAATGAATTTTGCCCTCGACTCTATACCTTAGTCACATCAAACTGTTGGTTTCTATCAAAATTGCTCTCAAGCATACAAATCTTTGTTTACCCTTTGTTCCGCAAAGTCACTGTCAAGCAAGTAAAACCTAAACATTCTCCTAAATAATGCTAATAATATCCAACCTGCGAATACAAAGTGTTTACATCTAGTCACACTTCTTCTGCTTATGTGTATGATACAACAGAAGACAGTATTCCCGTGATACCAACGGAGAAGAAGTGGTTTTTTGTTGGTGAAGATCTCTTTTGTTTCGTAATTATGGATCCTTAATTTTGTTTTATTTTCTTTCTAAAATGACTAAAGTGGGGAATGTGTAGGTTTCTAGATTTGGGGGGTTAAGAACATCACTGAAGAAGATTTTGCGATAGTGACCTGGGCTATTTGAAAAAAAAAGTGCTCTACACGCGATTCGTTTTGCTCCCAGAGAGAGTAAATCCGTTTATTGAGATTTTTGTCATCAACCGCTCTCGTTGAAATACCGTTCTTCCAATCTTCCCCCTTTTTTCTTATCTCATTGCAGGTGGATATGACAAAAGTAAATATGCAAGTAATTCGACCGTGGATTGCGCAAAAAGTCGTAGACCTACTCGGCACGGAGGATGAAGTCGTAATAAACTATGTATATGGGCTTTTGGAAGAGCAGGTAGACTGCTTTCTCTCAAAAATTAACATTTGAACCAATATACGGCATAATATTAATCAGTATCCTAAGCTTTCGCAATTGTTTTATTTGCAATAGGATCCTGATCCAAGGTTAATGCAAATTAATCTGACAGGATTTCTTGAGAAAAATGCAGCTGGGTTTGTAACAGAATTATGGAAGTTATTGCTCTCGGCGCAAGATGGGGTTGGAGGGATTCCGACCGTCTTTTTACAGCAAAAGATGGATGAAATTAGGAAAAAAAAGGTATAGACACATGACTAGGTCTATAATTTAGGAATATAGTAACCATATATAACAAGATACCTTAGCTGTGCTTAATACAGGACACACGAAAGTATAACACGATACCAATAATGGTTATATTAATGGTTCATAGGAAGAGGATGAAAGAATCTTGGCAGAAATTCGTCGAAGAAAAGACAAAGAAGAAGAAGAGCGAACGAAATTGAGAGACATTCGAGACAGAGAACGTCGAGAGGAGAAAGATAGGCGGGTATGTTCAATGTATCCTTCCCTTTCTGTCCCTTTCCTTTTTCATAAACCATGATTGTTCTTTCTTTAGGAACGTGACCACAAATCCACACGCCATAGAAGTAGAAGTAGGGATGACGACCGTCATCGTCGGTCATCTCGACGTAGTCCAAGTAACGAAGACCGACATCGACGACGATCTATTCGAAAAGGTAGCAGAAGCCGAGAAGGACGTGTGCGTGAACGTAGTCATAGTCGTAGCCGAAGCCATAGCCGTAGCCGTGATCGCAGGCGGCATAAAAGCCATCGGTACAATAGTAGGAGTCGGAGTAGGGATAGAAAACGGCATGAGGACAGGAGACATGGACGAAGAAGTAGTCATGCTCGAAGTGACAGGAGTCCAGAACGTCCCCGTGAGAGTTTCCATAAGAGGCGTCAATCTCGAGATGATGTCGTCAAGTCAGATTATATACCATCATCCGGTTCCAGTCCTCTCGAACAACCTATGGAGGTCGAAGAGAACCGACAACGAACGACCAAAAAACTTTTCGACACGCCCGAGGATGTCTCGCCACCTGTCTCGCCACCTAGAAAGAGAGTAGAGGCTCCGATATTCAAGTCAAAATGGAATGATGACGAGGATGATGGTGAGGATGAAAAGGTGAGTAGATCTTTGGGTTGTTTGCGAGAGAAAAAGTGAAAGGATGGTTATGCTCATCTCATTTACTGATTATAGTGATATGATTGATGCTATAGAAATCTCAGCAAGAGATAGAACAACGGTTACGTGCGCGAGTATTGCAGTCAATGAAGAAGTGATGGAAGAGTTACTAATAGCCAAGAGTTACTTAAGAGTTTCGCAATAAATCCCGCTATGAGATTCTAACAGTTGCTTCGTTGTTGTGAACAACAAGATAAGAAAGAAGCATCATTTGTTTTCTGATGATTCTAAAGACTCGGGTAGTCGTTATAGATAGCGATAGAAATTAGATGAATTCACCAGGTATTCACGTAAACATTAATCTCGCGGATTGGAAGAAAAGGCCATATGGTGTGAATACGTAAAATAAAAATAATGAATATTGTTCAAACGGGTACTGTTTGTAGTGACCATTGCCAATAAAAGATATCATCATGTATTAGTTTATTTATGTTGTTATATGGGAAAATTTTTGACCACCTGTTATTCATACGATACTATTTTTACTCCTATCTATCCCCCATTTTCCCACTCGAACAAAAATGATAAACGACAGTCGAATCAAAACACAGCACCCTTGACACAACATCACTCATGCGTGCTACCTCCTTGCCACTCAGTACTGCGAGTTTTCCCTGCTCTGTTACCAGCCTCGGGCGTACCCCGCTATTTAACAACCTACTAACCCAGAGCTTCAGCTCAGGCCAGAATGTTGACACCGAGTTCAAGAGAGACACTGCAATCGACGTGCGAGCGCCAAGAATGTAAACCTGCATTTTGACCCTTCTGCCATTCGGTTCACCACTAGGTGCTACAGCTAGACGCGACTCCAGCCAACGAAGCCCTTAACGGTGCAATCCAAAGGCGTATTTATGTAATATTTTGTAGTTATGGGATACACAGAATATTGAAAGTATTATTGGCAGATTGGAATGTACCCCAACATCAGGGAACAGTGTAACGATAAGGGAAATGACGTATTTAGCTTGAGGATTAGATTAATATACAAAGGTTTTGTCGAATAGGGAAAGAATGCTTGTACAGTAAGAACTTTTCATTGATGACCTATTCATTGGTTCACAAGCGAGAGATAATAAGGTGAACTCACATCTTGTCGTAACGCAACTACCACCGTTGTGCATATCGCATACTAAGCATTTAATGATCCGTTAATATTAATATTAAGAGCTTCCGTTATGGAATTCTCTGTTAAACAAAACTTGAGTTTTACCAAATAAAGACTGGCTTCACTTTTCAATTTCGAGCAGGTAATCTCGCTCACGGATTTGGGTTCCATAAAATTGATGACTTTATAATTTCTATGAAATTGATTTTTGCGAGTTTTATGATAGAGAGAGAAACATAAGACCATGACCCAAAATAGACGTTTCGAGTTAAAGAAGTTTGCTTTATTAATAAATATACCTTGAGCAGATCAATCATCTCCATGTCAACGAATTCAGATATTTTAAGAAAATGGCGTTTTATAACAAAAGCCTTCCTGTAACAGTTTACATACCAAATGGAATGGATATTAATACGATGTGTGATATTTGCATCGTTCATATCATGTGACCCGTAGAATGAAAATATCTGCGCGAAAGCTCGACTCCCTACTCCTATACTTTTCTTTTAATGCCACGTAGTCCATCCCCACGTCCCGAATACTCTCGCCGTAGTCACGGACATTCGGATTATCGAGACTCTTACCGTGATCGCGATCGACCATCAGAAGACGTACACCCGCGTCGTAGATCTCGCTCACCTGGACGAGATAAATACGACAGGCGAGACAGGCGGTCTCGTTCGCCATACGGAAAGGACAAGGATAGGGACAGGCACAGAGACAGAGACAGAGACAGAGACAGAGACAGGGACAGAGACAGGGACAGAGACAGAGACAGAGATAGAGACAGAGATAGAGATAGAGATGGCAAAGAACGAAGGAGGTCTATGGACCGAAGTGGGAGGTATAGGTCTAGATCTCGCTCGCCTGTTGGCAGAAGAGGTAATAAAGTCTGATGCAGTAAACAAGATATAGTAATAACTCTTGATCTGTCAGAGTATAGTATGTGGTTATGTAAGTAAATTAGTACAGTTGGGTATGAGGCAGCGTGCTCTTTGGAGACACATAGAGTATCAATACCAAAGACGTTCTAGTATGTTAAATATATCCAACAGTTCTCCCTCGAGTGTCAGAGCTGCTTTCTTTGGCCGCAGCTCATTGCCATTGTCGATGCAGCTATTAAAGTTGTTTAAGTAAATATTACTGTACGTTAATGATTATTTTGATCATTTTAGATGACCGATACAGTAGAACCAAGGAGAGACGAAAGTCAAGGTCAAGATCAAAGTCAAGATCGCCAAGGTAAACCTGCTCAATGATTTTTGCTCAACGGAAAAACGAATTGTTGCTGACTTCAATTTGAATGAAAACAGGAAAGATGAAAGTACAAATGTGGTTGAAGGTAAGCCATAGCATATATAGCAATAAGGACGGGAGAATTTACTGGAGACTGTATTTGTTATTCTGTTTTTAATTATAGTTCTGACCTTTCTGAATAACTAATGTTTTTAGTAAGTATTGATCCTGATGAGGAGCCCGAGAAAGCAATGCTGGCTTTCATGGGAATTTCCGGATTTTCGACGACAAAGGTAACCATTGAACTTGCAAACCATTTGCATGGATGATAAATTTAATGATTACATCCGATTTAGGGTGCGAAAGTTACTGGAAATGATATGTCTGCAGTTAATATTAAAAAACAGAGGCAATATCGCCAATACATGAACAGACGTGGTGGATTTAATAGGTAAGATTATATACTGTTGAGTGCTTTGGATGACAATCAACTAACTTGTTATTATTACCAATGTAGACCCTTGGATAAAGTACAATAATACAGTTACCCTGATCCATTGCGGGTTGAGTCAATAGAATCAAAACTTTTATTAATAATAGATAAAAGTTGTACAAGCAAATAAAATGTACGACTTGCAGCGCGTTTAGTTCTCCGTCTATCGTTTAACGTTGGGGGTCTCACTATTGTTAATCCTGACATGAATCCCTTTACAATTTTCAGTTGTTAGTTTCGCAATCTCGAATAATCGAACTATTGGGAGTTTTATGAGAGTGGAATACTATGCAGACCCAACAGAATGCCATAAGATGGAAATAAAAGTAACAGCCATGAGGCTGAAACCCTAAATACATTCAACTTGTATCATAAATAAGCAAACGATTATATTAAGTTCAATCGAATTAGACATTCAAATAACTGGACACAAAGCATGCAGACTTACTTTGTCTTTCGACCAATCTAGTATTCGATTTGGATTAATATCTGCAAGTAATAATTGCTTCCCTCTATAGGAATATGTTATACAAGAAAACATGAAACACATTTTCATCGACTCTATCTTTGGAGAAAGGGTGTTAAAGCAACTATGATTATGATAAACGCATCCACTTTACAAGTTTGCTGATAGTAGCGAGAAAGAGAGAAGGTAATTAGAGTTCACGTAGTTCTGCTAAGTTAAAAGCGCCGCTAAGCATGGCAGTGATTCAATATCATTAGCAATTATCTGCTCTATTGTAAATCTAACAATGTGCATCAACAAAATCAAGCCAAGCGAGCCTAATTTGAAAGATAAACAGCCATATCTGTGAATTGTAATCAAGCCTTGTTCGTATTGGGAGATATTGAACAATTAAGAGAAAAAGGATGCTACGACATTTTACCCACTGTCGCTTATCACATGCATAAGCTGATAAGAGAAACTTAAAGACAAAGTTTTTTGTTGCCCAACCACATTCTCACGCACATGGATCAAGATCCAAAACGGTGGCAGAACGTTTATTCTGCATCATGCCTCTTGTTGGCGCTGGGCAATAACATGCCCAAATGAAAAAGTTCGAATAAATCTTGTACAAGGGTTCATTTGCAACCTAGATTTATCATTACTAACGCGTCTTCTTTGAGTACTCAAATTTTTAATCTAAAGTAGGACAGTTTCTGGTTTGATAGTCAGTACTACTACCTTTAAATATTGTATTGGTTAAGTATTTTCTTTTTGATGAAAGTCTCGCCTGTTAAGGAAAAAACCATGTAATTATCTACATGTCCTCCGTAATACAGATCAGCAAGCGCACGTTTAACGTGTAACGGGAATTTGAAGGAATTCTGTATAAAATTCCCTGGGGGCATTTTTCATGTATCTCAACTTACGACGGATACTAATACGGTTCAACCACAACAATTGCGACAACAATCATTGAGAAATTTGCAAGATGACAACGCAATATTCTGTTGAAGTAGCTAATGCTCCAACTATTCCAGGTGAAGGGAAACCCCGTCGCAATGCTCTTTTGCCGGACAGGTTGATTTCTCATCCACCAGGCGTTACTACTTTGTGGGAAAACTTTTTACGAGGAGTTAGACTATCCGGTGAGTAATGGTCATAATCAAAGCATACGGCAAGCTCTTGGTTATAGACAAAATTAATAAACAATCAAACTGTAGAATATGCCAGCACACAACATTTGCAAACATGTTTTAGCGAGACTCATTGTGTAATATACTTGTCATAGAGGGCGGTAATTTTTTGGGCACACGCCGAATCGAAGACGGTGTTGCCAAGGAGTACGTATGGCAAACCTACCCAGAAGTTCAGAAGCGCATACAAAATTTAGGGTCTGGTTTGAGAAAACTCGGTCTACAGCCTTACAAACCTCTCGGTTTCTTTCTTATTAACTGCGCCGAATGGGTAAGCCTTTCCCTCTCATGCAGGATCTCTTTTTCGTCATTTGACATGCCAGTTTTCTCGTTTACTCACATTAATCGATTCTCTATATGTTACAAGACTATTGCCGAAATTGCATGCTACCAATACTCGTTCATAACAGTTCCGCTCTACGATACTCTCGGAGTAGACGCCATTGAGTATATAATTAACCAGACGGAGATGGAGTACATTGTCGCATCCCAGAACAAGGTCCAGATAATTCTCGATAACAAACAGAGACTTCCGCATCTCAAACATATAGTGGTAACCGATGGAATACCCGATGGCATGATTGATGCGGCTGCCAAAGTCAATCTGCAGTTACATGAATTTACCCAGGTCGAGAAGAATGGTGCTACTGATGTGTGTGACGCAGTTCATCCGAAACCCGAAGATATTGCCATCATCTGTTATACGTCAGGCACAACGGGTACTCCCAAGGGTGCTATACTGACTCATAGTAATCTCGCAGCCACTGTTGGCGGTATGGTATATCTTGCCGATAAGAAAAGTATGTTTATTCCTACAAAAGATGATATCCATATCTCATACTTGCCACTCGCTCACGTCATGGAAAGATGCGATGAGGTTGTTGTCATCTACAGTGGTGGGAAGATTGGGTATTACCAAGGAGATACACTTAAATTATTAGACGATATTGCAGAACTGAAACCCACCGTGTTCGTTTCCGTACCCAGACTGTTTAACCGTGTTTATGACAAAGTTATGGCTGGCGTAAAGGCTAAAGGCGGCATTGCACAAACCCTATTTCATATGGCCTATAATCAGAAGAAGGCTTTGCTTTCCAGAGGTATTATCAACCATTGGCTTTGGGATCGCATTGTATTTGCGCCTATTCGCGCTCGGTTAGGTGGGCGGGTCAAGAACATGTTATCCGGATCGGCGCCTATCCAAGCCGACGTGCTGGATTTCTTGAAGATTTGTTTTTCGGCCAATGTCTATGAAGGATACGGATCAACTGAGAATACTGCTGGCGCTTCTATAGTAAGTTGTATTTAAAACTTGATACATTTCGTATCACCATCCTATTTTTTAACTTACTTTTATATAGACGGTATATGGAGATATGTCATCGGGACATGTTGGTGCTCCACAACTGTGCAATGAAATAAAACTTGTCGATGTTCCCTCGATGGATTACACTAGCCAAGACAAGCCATTCCCACGTGGCGAGATCTGCGTGCGTGGTAATGCTGTGTTTAAAGGATATTACAAATTACCCGAGAAAACAGAAGAGGCACTCGACAAGGATGGTTGGTTCCATACTGGTGATATTGGTATGTGGGACGACCAGGGTCATCTAAAAATTATCGATCGTGTCAAGAATATATTCAAATTGGCACAAGGAGAGTATATTGCACCAGAGAAGGTAAATATGACACGGGGTTGACTGGTATAACAGCAGTTCAGTATTTAAAAGGTTTATTATAATTTCAGATCGAGATCGTGTATCAGAAACATGAGCTGGTCGCCCAAGCTTTCGTACATGGTGAATCCCTTCAAGCCTCGTTGGTCGGAATCATTGTTCCTGACGAGGAACAACTCCTCATCTGGGCCAAGAAGAATGGTCATGAAGGCAAATCATTCGAAGAACTCTGTAAATCACCAGAAGTCAACACGTACATCCTGCAGGCCCTAACTAAATTCGGTAAACAGAACGATCTCAAAGGTTTTGAGAACGTAAAGAAGATTTATCTCTGCTCGGAACCCTTTAGTGTTCAAAACGATCTCTTTACACCAACTTTCAAGCTCAAACGTCACCAAGCAAAGCAACGTTTCCAATCGCAGATTAATGCAATGTACGCTGAGCTTCAATGAAAGGTTGAAGAGAGGCGCAAGATAGATTGAATGATTAATAATAGAAAAATATTATCTTATGGTTTATATCGTTTAATTTGATTTGTTCGACATTGGGGGAGTCATCTTTATGTTGCATGTAGATAAAAGAACTCGTTAGACAAACGGGTGGAAGATTTGAATTAATACAACGATCATTTCTCGTATTATTATTATTGGTGTTAAAAATTTCTATAGAAATGTCCATTCCACGCTTTTCTCGTCGTTTCAATATACTACAGTATCTGAAATCGCAACTTTGACTTTTGCAACAAACGGTTCAATTAACTTGCGAATAGTTACAAAATCTTTCTTAGCCTTTGAGTATTTCCCATCAACATCAGACTTGATGTCACCATTATCTTCCTCACCACTCGAGCTGTCAAACATAAAGTCCATGCTTTCTTCCACGAATTTATCTACACCAATTTCCTCAATTACATTCGATGACAGAGGCGTGCTATCATCTACAGCTGGATATTGCGTATAAACAGCCTTTCTAAGTTTATCCAATCGACATCTCTTGCGCTGTTTATGCCATTCTATAAGCTGTTCTATCTCGGAAAAGAGTTTTTCTTGTTCGTCTGCTGTTAACGTTGATCTTGCTATCTGACCCATGTCTATCCTCTCCGATAGACCATCGCGTGCAAATGACAATATAGTCTCCATCCAATTGACAAGAGATGAGAATATTCCAGCAGTGTCGTGTGAATATATTGCGTGGACAAACGAGTAGAAGCGTTGCGAGTGTCTACGAACGAGGGAGAGGAATATCTGAACTATTGATTCAGTCGATGTATTTGCGGCTAGAATAAAAATGATTGTCAACATTGCAAGATGCAAATGAGAATGGGGGAATAAAAAGTCTAGATAAAATTTTACCCTTTTTCTCATCTACTTCCTCGACCACTTGAATCAAGTCGTTTACAAAATTAGATATATCGCTTAGCGAGTCTCCAAAATTCGCTGCCTATGAAAAAAGTAATACTTTTAGTAGGATGGTCGTTGCTGCAGCGTATCAGCAATACCTGACTGTGTTGTACCTTATATACTCTTGCTAATGGTTCATAAAACATGGCTAGGATTTCTCTGAACAAGCTGCCAGTAACCCCCTTTAAAATATAAACATATTCGTTAACACATATTTCCCCAGCTAATAAGTAATATTTAACGGGTTATCTACCTGAAATAATAGATCAACCATCATCTCCTTGTCATGCTTCCTCAAGTATAAGAAGAACAATTTCTTGACATTATCAAACATATGCGTCTCTTGCGTTGCGGCTAACGATTGCGGCGACAACTGTGGTTGCAAAGTAGATGTGTGTAGAATAGCCCTGACTATTGCAGCCGCGTCTATCAATTGTAACGAGAACAGGACGTAAGCATCTGATTAAACACGTTTTGATAAACGTCCTGCGTAAAATAGTTGAAAATTCATACTCTCGCCATCAGCTTCGCTTTTTATGATTTTCTGCACTTTTATGGAAGAATTTGAATAGTTTTTGAGTTTCTCACATATGGCAGAATCATTGATATCTGATCCCAACATATCAATTTTTTTTTGCATGTCTCTGATCTCTTCATTCAGATTTGTGGACAACATCCTGTTAAACACAAATGTTAACGCGTTGAATCACGAACAACAGAAAAAATGAAATAGGGATAAATCATACTCACCTTTGTATAAGACTTTTAGCACCAAATGGTTGAGCTAAAAATAGATCCAACATAGCTCTCATGAGAACAAGAGGACTAGAAATTTTCAAAATTCCGTGCATCGCTTTATATGGCATCAATGAGTGGGCATTCTTCAACTTGGCAAATGTCGCACTGCTGGTGTCTGACCCAACAAAAACGCGATACAAAGTTGAAGCAAAACTGTAATATAGAGCTATTATTAGATCACATTCACACTGGCTTGATTTTCTCGATCAAATTGGCTTCTTTGATACCTTATTTCTCCCCATTTAATTATTTCTTGATAAGAGGATGGTAATTGTGAAATTTCGGCAGTTTCCCTTATAGTTGCAGCAAAATGTGACAATCCACCTAAAAAATATATGAAGTTTTCAATATTACTCTTCACGGTTAATTAATCGACGTTATTATTTTCCCCCCATATCTTACCGCATTTCAGCAATTCCTGTTTAACCGTATCAATTTGATCGTAGAACCCCTCCATCTGCTTTTCAGTCTCCATTTCAAATGCCCTTATCCGTTCATCTTTAATCCTATCCAATTCCGCTCTTTCAGCGATATTCTTTTGATCCTTTTCTGTCAATTCGACCGGATCCTTTAATAAAAAGTCTTGGAATAATTTAGATTGGGCTACCTTCTTTATTCGCAAAAGATGGCGTATGTATACGCGGAGGTTGAGCCGATTCTTTTCATATCTATACTTTGGAATGACTGATGATCTGTTGGTCAATTGGCCTATTTTTGACGTATCGTTGATCTTTTTTGGAAGGTCAAGTATGTCTATATCCGAAAACTCATCTTTGAGCTAATAAAAAGTGTCGTTAGCATATTGCGTGTGTCTATTATGAGGAATAACGTTGTAATATTAACAAACCTACTTTATTAAATAAAGATCGAAATTCTCGGTAACGTCTGGCAACAAATACATCTTCAGTGCCTGATCTGCTTGTTAGTATTATGTATTCCTGTGGGGGGCGTAAATTCATTACTAAATTTATATTTCTGGTAATGCGAATTGTGTGGCATACCAGTTATCAAAACTTACCGGGTGTACATGTTCTTTCAACTTTCCTTTTTCAACCCGAATTCTAACACCAACAACATTCAATTCCCAAGTATTCCCCGAATTGTCTACTTGCGCTTTCTCCTTCTGTTGCTCTTTTGGACTCAGCCAATCGCTTACTTTTAAATTCTCATCTTGTCCCAGAGTACTTTTAATTCCTGCATTCAACAACAGTGTAACGTGTCCCACAAACTTTGTCGCCAACTTTCTTCGACGTGTTGCCTCTTCTCTGGTAACGGTGGAGCTGATATTTTTGCTATTAAATTGGTCTATGAATTCTCTTATTTTATTCCAAAAGTCATTACTCGTAGACCGGAGGAATGGAAATGTCAGCACATAATTATGGAATATGAAATAGAGGAATGGTGACGGTGTAGTCAGCGGAGTCTCTGGCGAGAATGGCGGGCCGAGGAACGAAAGACCTGATTCAGTGGCAAAGCTTGGAAGTTCTTTTTCGACTTGACAGCTAATTAATTCCCTTTTCAAGTAATGTTCTTGAAGGGGAGTAAATAATGGCGTGGACTAAATGGATCAAAAAAGAAATGGATGAATGTGAGTGTAACGTGATTAAGGAAAAGATTTATGTGCATGGAATGTGCATAGTAATACCATTGTTTCAGCGTATTTGCAGCAGGATAAAGACTTGATGTGGTTCAGATGGTTTAGTCTTCGCTCTTATAACAGTGCAGTGCTCATTTATAGTTTTAGAATGTACAAAGGTTTACTCCCACACCAAACTTATTTTGGCTTGATCTGATCTTGGCGAGGATTAAATAGGGGCAGGGAACACTCAATTTCAAGGGTGAACGCCACTGCAAGTAACTTCAGAACTTTAGAATATCAGCGTTTCGAACATCACGCTACATACTACAGTACTATTGGCTGATGACATGCTGATGGATACTGCGGGCATTCTTTTTGTTATTCTAGACTGTCTTTGTTAGCAAGCATCGATACGATGAGTTAAAAGAGAATCTCTCTTGCACGTGCACGCGTGCGTAAACAGGACGCTATATCGTACGACTATGGATATGTCATATCATTGATCTATTCGATTATCTCTTTTGGGACGCAATAATTGCGTCATAGAATAAAGATTAAGAGGAATGTAGACCAATCATTCTGCCTCAATTATTTCTTGCTTCTGATATACCAGTGAACAGCTTAACGTTGATGTTACGATCATGAAGGTAATGTTTTGATAATATATTTTTAGGTTATGCCCCTTATACTTGGCTTAATCAAGATGTGAGGCACTCGCTGGAATTAACATCTGAATCAAGACTTCCTATATTAAGCGTTGAAATAACTTATTAAACGTTTATTCATTGTGCCCCCAACAGTTACTCCTGTGAAATATTGAATAAACAAGAATAGATAAGAAACAGCTGTGTTTCACATTCCCGCTGCAGTTGAGCTTAGCGCATCCATAATTCATTACGACAGTTATTAGTATGCGAGTCACTTTCTTTAACAGAGTCGTACCCATAAAATATAGACAAGTTAGAGAGCTCTCTCGTCCCCAAGGGGAATTCTAGTTCTACCAATCTGAAATCGTTGCTGTATACTTGTTAATATAATTTCAACTTTGGAACATCTATTATTGTTAGGAGCTAAACAATATCAATATATTAACGTTAATAATCGAGCGGGATGATCACGGAACTACGGCCCTTCGAGAAAATTTTTCAACCTTGTCTATATTTAGATATCTGTAACATAATCATAATACAGTACATTGTGCGCCTTACAGATTCAGTTTGTTAACGTTAATATTTATACTAATAGTAGATAATACGTACGTAGTAGTGATTGAGTTACGACTTTCAGTAGTAATAATAATGGTTGAGTGTATCATATACGTATATGTTTCGTCATCGTTTACGTTATTTCTACTCTCTCATAAGGGCTTTAGTGGGCACCTTGTTGTGAATAAAAGTTCCTTGCGATAGTTATTTCTACTCTCTCGCCTCCTCCTTTCTTCCAATATTTCACATGACAAAGGAAAAGTTGATTGTAATTGTGGATGTAATTTAATTTTTTTTTGCGACTCAAAGGATTAATTAAGTTCAGCAGGGGAGAAGAACCCCTTTTTCTTAGGAGTTGGGACAAGCTATATAAATTATCTTATGTACGATTTAACATTTACAATTAGTTGCCGGGAATGTTGGGGGGGTTTTTTCGCCCATGGTCAAAAGGGGTTTCTTGGTAATTATTTACTGTACATATAAAATATCCAACGAGAATCGGAAAGCACGCCCTCTAGGTCTTGAAATCCATATTATAGAACAGATATTAATATTATTTCATCCTTCGATTTCTGGGCAGACAGTGACAGAAGAAAACCGGGTTTCTATGAGTTTTGACAAGAGAGTGATTCAATATTAAGTCTTGTGCTTGTTGGTCATATTGCTTGTTATCGATATCCTTACTATCATGGATATCAGTTTAATTGCGTGGCTTATCGGACTTGAAAATTATTTCACTGCATGTGATCCGAATGTTACACTGATACTATTACTATTGTTCTCATTTACGGAAACAAACGTGACAGTCGCTCCTTGTTGCATAGATAACAGACATTTATACTTACAAGGCTGCGTACGACAACTTCAAGTAGTACCAATATATGTCACCTTCCCATCTAACACGCGAACACACACGTTATCATAGGGTTACATTTATACGCGTGACTTATCAGAGAGTCAGCCACAATGACCAATAGTAAACATAAGCGGGTATCATCATTACATCATATCGTGACAGTCGTAGTAAAAAATTTTTTTCACTGGTTAACAAGTTCACACCCCTTACTGCGTAAATAACAACATTTATACTTATAAGGTCGCGCACAACAACAATATCAAGTAGTACATCTTTATCATTAACACGCAAACACGCGTCTATTTATACATACATACATACATATATATACCCAGACACTCCTCTCCGACACTCCTCTCCTCTCCATTGCACTCACAACAACATCTCCTCCTCCAAAGCGCAAATACAACGTTATCGAAAAGTCAATATACAACGCAACAAACCTTTACCGCTATTACGCACATACGACGGTTTGCTACAACTCTCGAACAAGTCTTTGAAACGACGGCTCAGTTTATCGACCACGTAATCGTACTTAAAACACATATATCCAAACGCTGTTCTTTCCGCGGTCGGGAAAAAGACAAGACGCTCATGGAGAAAACAAGGCATGTGGATGGTTTGACATGTTCCGTTTGGGGCCGGGGGTTATTT